AGTTAGAATTTATGGTCTGGCCATTGAGGTGTTGGGTCCCAGTGACTGAATGATATACGAGCTTGCCTTGTAACCGGAAAGTCCTGGGTTCGAATCCCAGTGGGTGCGTACTGCCTGTGATTCCCAAACTAGCTGGGTGAAACAGCAGCTGTCCAGTACTCCCTGGTCTTTAATGGTTCTCCAACTGATATCAGTCCGTGATCAACTCGTAAAACATATATATTATCTGAGAAATTGAGATCTACTAGAGTCTTCTTATCGGTGGTCCGGTGTATTCCTGATCCTGTCTCCTCACTCCCAAACACAGTCTTCAGTCAGTAAAATCCAGTTCACTACAATTAGGAATATCACGGGTGAACCACATGGATTAATCTCCATGAAAGTGATGAAATTGCCGAGTTAGTTTACTTTTTATCTTCATTGAACTGCAAAGATAATTTTACAGTCTTGGAAAGAACCAAAATCTGTGAAGTCCCTGCCTGTTGTATCATCTGAGTTCACCAATCCAGTCCTAAGCAGTCACACTTGAGGAATTTAATACCTTTATGCCGTCAGATCCCGTCACCGGAATCATACTCGTTTGTTTAGATTCTGAACACTCGGTAGATTCATAATACTGTACGATGATCATTTGAATTTATCGTTGCTGTTATCATACCTGTTTTAAGTATGAATTATGCTTCCTGAGTCTTTAAATGAAATAATCAGAAAATTAGCAGTGAACTGAGAGCGAAATTAGAAATGTATGGCTAGCTTATTTGACGAGTTTGATCACCAGTTTCCAAGTGCCTTTTAAACACAATTACTATTATTCAAGTGTTGCTTTGTAGGGATTTGATTGGTTACAGGATTTTCATCATGAGCTGACATTAGTTAGAGAAGCAGTGGAAAACAAGCTAGGAGTACTGAACAGCCGTTTCGTCAGCCTAGTTTGGGACTCTTCAGCAGCACGAATACACCGGGATTCGAACCCAGGACCTTCTGGTTACAAGATTAGCGAGCTCGTATACCATTAAGCCACTGGGACGCGTTCCAATAGCCCATGAATTCTAACTTCTGCCAATTCACGACATAGCGCGACCCCTAGCCAATGTCTTCGGCGAGTATTTGTCCTCACACCAGCCGACCTGCTGCACCCTACTGGTCACGACTACTCACTAGAACCCCAGGTAACTACCTACCTGGATAGGGCAAGTCACTAGTGAGCATCTCATTATCTCATTATTCCCTTGGGTTCTGGGGGGAACATAAGGCAAACCTCCATTGAGTACTGTTCTCTGCAGTCTTCTTTAGCTAACTCCACGGCTGTCCATAGACTCTCACCTCCTGCTCACGTGATCTCCTCCATGTCACACTATCGGACGGATGACAACAAATCACCGTTTCCTGTTTGGATCCCACTAGAGATTATGCCTGGTGCACGATGTCACCCAACGGTCTCCTCGTTGTGTCCCCGCCCCCGCGATCCCCCTCCATTTTCTTCGGTACAATTGTTGAGCAATAGTTTCATGGCTGGTTCGTTCCAAGAGTTCCTTGTTGGTTATTCTTTCTGGCCAGCTGGCCATCTGATCTTCAGTATGTAGCCAACGAAGGCAACACTGTTGATAAAAGTTTGCAGTAGCTTGTTCGATTAGGATCATGACATTGATGTTGAAAATCTGAATTTCCTTCGTTATGCTGAGGTGGAGTACAGAAGATTTCCCACTGGTTTCAGTAAAATGAATGTCTGCTTCGACATTTCCTGTTCTGGTTTTGACATCGTTGTCTGTCGTGCTGTCCGATAGAGTTGAAAGGAAACTGCTTAGTCAGATAAGTGAAGCGTGCAACTTCCTTCAGACTCCTCTTGCTGTGGTTAGCCGGTTATTTTATTTTTTTTTTTTTATTTTGATTTACAGCTTGATTCCACACCGTATTTTCAGTACAAGTGTGGAATTTTCAGCATGGATATCGGTAGCCCAAATTCAGGCCGACCATAGATATCGGGTGTGCGCCGGCAGGGGATCGAACCCCGGACCATGTGCATGGTCGGCGAGAGTCCAAACCACTGTGCCACCGACACCTCCGTTTTCCCTAAATATTCACTTGAATTCGGTTCTCCGCTGACAGCCTACTAGCCCAATTGTTGGTTTCCACCTTTAAGTCTTCGATTTTATGTGACATTGGTCATAAATCGTCGAGGAAGTTCAGATCTGCGAGAGTCTTCTTATTGGTCCAACGTATTCTTGTCTTCTTGCTTCCCATATTCTCCCGTATCATTCATTCCACGTCTTTAAATATTAGTTAGTATTCTTACAGCATAAAAACACTCCCTACCAAGTTAATGATTCCGTGAACTAATCAAACACGCTTATAGCTACAAAGTTGCATAGTACTAGCGCTACTCAAAAATACATGTGGCTATTTACTTTACACTGACTAGTCAGTAGAGCGCAATCACTATCATGTCTACAGTCTTTAATTTTGCTGTTGACTGAATTATGTCAATCAACTTTGAAATGTGATCATCAAGATACACGTGTCTGGTGAGGGAGGAGGTGACATGTTATGCGCCAATTTATCCTACATTACGGGTAAACATCACATTCGATCCTAACGTAGATTAGAGGTGTCAGGTCAGTGGATGTTTAACGGTACGTGATTACCAGTCAAAACATAACTTTATAGGTCTCTAAACTACTTATTTACTGCAAAAATCATATACTACTGATTAACTGAATTGAGTAGCTGCATACCACTGATGTTAATTTATTGATTATTTGAAATAATTATATAAATTGCTGTACTTTCAAATGATATTGCCTTTTGCTTTAAGAAATCAATCTTTGCCCTTCCAGTCAGTCTTCTGTGCCTCATCAGTACACCGGGTAGTAGTTGAGTGATCAATAGTATATTAATTACTGAATAAAGCGGGAACAATAGTGATCTGTGCAGAATAAGACGATGGTACCATCACTGTTTATTTCTTTAGCTCCTTGTCAGCTGCTTACAGCCTTATTAAATTATTATTAAGTGTATGTACAGAAAAGTTTTAACCTACTTGCAAATGTTACATGATGTCAGTTGACATGAGGTTCTGGATATAGTGAACAGTGCTCAGAAAATTACGCTTACATAGTTTTTACACAGGCAATTCAAGTTAAAACAAATTAAATGTATGCTTACAATGGTAAAGCAGTTACGTAATAAGAACAAGGGATGCGTAAGATAGCGAGTAACTAATAAATTGTACTTCAGTGTACTGAGTTCAACTCAAATCATAGAAACAAGAGACAAGCAAAGTTACACTATATCATAGGGAAGAGGGACTATTTAAAGCAAAAGATTATATAATCAAACGAAAGAGAGACAGAGTGGAGACATCGAGTTACTCAGGGAAAGGAAAGACTGATAACTGCTTCTTTCTGGACATATGGATTGGGCTTCAGACGTTTAATAGAAACAGCTTCGGCAAACTTGAGGAGAATTGAGCCCATTTTGTCTATTGATAATTTTTAAGGGATTTCGTGATTTCCACCTCATGAGTGATGGGTCATTTGAAATTTGCAAGTAGGTTAAAACTTTTCTGTACATAAACTTAATAATAATAATTATTGTTCATTTAGGATGTGATCAGCTGATGAGAAGCTAACGAAATAAGTGATGGTGCCATCGTCGTACTCTGCACAAACCATTGTTACCCTTATTATTATTATTATTGTATCCTTTAATTCCTACAGGAACATAGGGCTTCAGCCGTGCGTCTCCATTGCCTTCGATTCTCTGCTAAAGTCTTCACCTGGCTCCATGTCTGCCCACACGCCTTCATCTCCTCTTCACATGACCTCCTCCAAGTCACCCATCCTCGCACTGACGAACAACTCACCGCTTCCCTTTCGGTTTCCACTTAAGCAATGTCTTGTCTAGTGATGTCACTTGATGGTTTCCTCAGAGTATGACCAGCCAATCCATCTCCATTTCTTCCTGCATATTTGTTTCACAATCGGTTCCTGGTTGGTTCGCTCATTGCCAGAGATCCCTGTTGCTGATCTTTTCTGGCCGGCCATCTGATCTTGAGTAGTATTGAGCGAAGACAACTGTTGATTGATGAAGGTCTGTAGTTTGTTTGAGATGCTCTTTATGACGCGCTAGCCAAGTCTCTGGTCCGTATGGTAGCAATGACTGACTTCACATTGGAGTTGAAAATCCGGATCTTATTTTTGATGCCGAGTGTTGTTGACCTCCACACAAACTTGAGAGTAGTGAAAGCTTGTCTTGCTTTTCCGATTATTGCTTTGATATCCTCGTCAGTTCCGTTCGCCTGTAGTTGAAACGATGCTTCCCAGGTAGGTGGGTAAAAGAGGTTGTTTCTTTCAGATTCCTCCCATTTATGCTGATCGTTGTCAGTTGTTTTTTTTGCTGTTGGTGGTGTTGCCCAGGAGTTTTCATCACCTCTGTTTTACCTATGTTCACCTGAAGTCCTATCTTTTCTGGATGCTTCTTCTGCCAACTTGTTGCTTTTCGCTTGCATATCTTCCAGCTTGTGGGAAATCAAACACATGTGCCATCGGCGAATTCCAGATCCTCCAAGTTTTTTGGGAGTCCATTTTATGCCTGTTTCCTCATTGCCCGCTGTCTGTCGCATTATCCAGTCTACTGCAATCAAGAAAATCATTGGCGATAGTAGGCAGCCAGCTTGTCTTACTCCTGTCCTCACTTCCAAGGATTCCGTAAGTTTCCCGTTGTGGATTACTTGGCATGCAGCATTGTTACCCTTGCTTTATTCAAATTCATAAAGAGGAATAAATGTAGTATATTTCTGTTTTGAACTGAAACAACAATTGGGATGAACTCACACATCCAATGTCATTCCCCGTTAGAACACTATGTGAGTAGCTTCATGTATATATATATATATATATATATATTAGGTGGCAGTTGTATATGTTGATGGAGAAGGTGGTGTCAAGCAGCAGAGAACAAAATACATTTGTACAATGATTTTTAAAAAGTACTACACTCACCTTTGTGGATTCTTAAGCTCTTCAGTAATGATATTAACAGTATTCCTATAAAAGAAATTCAGAATAGTAAATAAAAAAAAACACATAAGTGGTCAGTTGGATGATAAAATCATAAATGAGTTCAGTAATGGAGGAGCACGTAAAAAGAATGACAGTATGCAACCCACTATGACATGGCTATCATTCATAGTACTGTGGTGAGAGCTGGCTGCTAGCCAAAATTGGTAGACAGTAATTTACGTCAATGTTTACGTTCTCAGTATTGGTCGTGAGAAAATATGAACAAAGACAGATTCAAAACCGACCACAGCAGACTTTGCGTAGGTGGATACAGTTAACATATAGATGATCTGACATTCAAGAAACAGTCACAAAGAGATGAAAGATTAACTTTAAGTGAGAAACAACCAATCAGAAGACTGTGTTTGTTTGCTTAACTAATCTATAATAATGTATATGAAAATATATAAATATGCTTTGATTTCCTTAATAAACGATCTGTTGCCTGACCCTTGTCTTCTGTTGTTACAGTACCACTGAAGATAATGTATACACTTGCGGAATTAGGTTAAGATAAATTCTTGACAAAAGATGTACGTCAATATTAATTAACCAACCATTATGCATTTGGGTCTTATACATTTTTTGTTGTTGTCAGAATCTAAGGAAGACGCACTTTTGGTAGATCTTATTAGATTAACTAGAGAACATTCTCCACATGGGGTTACGATAGCACATTTTAGCATGATTTTATAAGGGAGAGAGGAAGGTCGTGGGAAGCTGTATTATTAAAACACTTCATCGACTTCGGTTACTTAACCAACGCCTGCTATGATTTCAAGATCAGCTTTTGAATTTTATACTAACTTACCACCTTGTCTTTCTTTCTTTCAAACTCCGAAAGACAGCGGAGACCTTTTCCTATTCATGAATTCAAGTCAGACTTTTGTGTACAGAAGTAGTGTGTATTACTGAGTATTTCTGTAACGACAGAAGGCAAGAGTCAGGCAACAGATCATTTATTAAGGAAATCAACGCATATTTATATATGTTTCCATGTACATTACTATGGATACGTAAACAAACAAACACAGTCTTCCGATTGGTTGTTTCTCACATCAAATCTTGGGAACGTAAATATTGACGTAAATTACTGTCTACCAATTTGGCTAGTAGACAGCTCTCACCACACTCGTCTCCCCGTCAAATGGCTTCGCGCGCAGGCGTTCCGACCTTCTGGGTGATGCATCCTCTAGTTGATGATTGTTACAGACCGGCTTGTCTCAATGCACCCATCGTTGGATCTGACTGGCGTTAACTCGTTTTTGTTTGTCACCTCTTCTGATGGTATATACTTGACCCCGTCTTTTTGTGACTGTGTATGGTCCTTCCCGTTTTGGAAACTGTTTACCTGACCCTGCCGCACATTCGTAGGTATTTCGGCTCACACTTTCATATGCTGCTTTCTCCCGACCTCCCAGCAGCGTCCCAAGTAGCAGCCTCATCGCTGACAGATCTTGGACGCCACTCAACTGCGAAGAAGCCTCAAAGTCCTGCCCGAAGATCCATATGTCTTCATCAAAAACTGCAGGGCATCGGCTTTCCATTTGTCGGTAGGCAGCGACACCAATTGTAACGACAGAAGGCAAGAGTCAGGTAACAGATCATTTATTAAGGAAATCAACGCATATTTATATATGTTTTCATGTACATTACTATGGATACGTAAACAAACAAACACAGTCTTCCGATTGGTTGTTTCTCACGTCAAATCTTGGGAACGTAAATATTGACGTAAATTACTGTCTACCAATTTGGCTAGTAGACAGCTCTCACCACATTTCTACCTTGGCAGTAGGTATCCAATTTATTATTTTAAGTAGATACATAATAGAGAATATTTGTAGCTCAGGTAGATAATTTGCAGTTAGCTATGTTCTCTGAGCTGCCTGGTTAATTTAATTGCGAAGCTTTCGTCGACTTTCTGGACAACATCTTCAGCGCAAGTTTTAGCATAAAATGAACTTTGGATAGTTTTATTATAAAGACGGGGATTACCTGAAAAATGTGATGTATTTGTGCTATACATTTTGAACAATCTGATCACACATTTACTTGTCAAGTCGATATATATATATATATATATGAAAAAATTAAGGGCAATTAAATTAAACAAAAATGACAACAAAAGAAAAAGATTTAAGAATGATTAACACAACGTTTGGTAATCCTTATTTGGTAATCCAACCAATTCACAAATATCTGTGGGAGCAGTTACGCCGAAAGAGCAGAAAGAAGAGCCTACATCAGATTCTTCGAACATTTACCAAGGAGTTTCCGGTTAAAGCGGCCAGGTAGTTTAAACTCTTCAATTAACAAACACCCGACAGATACTGAACACCGAGTAGACGTGCTGGCATCATTCAAAATAATTAACAGACAAAACAGCTGAAGTTGCCTTCTGTTTGTTGAGGCTATCGCAATAAAACGGCTGGAACCTGACCTGTTTGTCCAAAAGGAATTTTTCGTAGGAGTCCAGTTACCCTGGTGACACATCCCTTAATAACTTTTGGTCTTCTAACTTCATTATTGAATAAAGATTCTAGGTTTTATTCAGCCGATGAGAGCCAACGAAATGAAATGCATCCATGTTATTCTGTACCAATGTTGGTCCTTCCTCTGCGCTAACTTATACAGGGGAATTCTCATATGACAGCTTTTATACATTAAACTTTGCAGTTGTCGGGGTTGTAAAAATGATTTTACACAAACAATTGCATTTCACACTACGATTTGCTCTTCTTTTTCTAGAATTATACATTTCATCCCTTAAGTATCTCTTCTTAGAATCGTGTTAGTAATTTGCGAACAGTATTTGAGTGATCATTAGCGTATTATTGTGTATCGAAAGATGGTGTATGATGGATGGATAAACGCAATCTCACCAACTATTGATCCATCATCATCATCATTATCCGTCAAACTCTGAATTTTTAGTTACACTCTTCAAGGTGAATATTTTTTCCTATAGTTGGTTTGTAAGGATTAAATTTGCTTATTACGAGTTGATCACGGATTGATATCAGTTAGAGAACCAGTGAAAACCAGCACTGGAGTACTGGACAACCAGCTGTTTCATCCTAGTTTAGGAACCATTGGCAGTACGCACCCACAGAGTGGGGTTCGAACCCAGGACCTTCTGGTTACAAGGCAAGCTCGTAGAGTATTCAGCCACTGGGACCCTATTCAGTGGCCAGTCCATAAATTCTAACTTATACTAATTTGTGATTGGTGCACTGTTAACGAAGCAGAACACAGTTTTATAAGTTTTAGCAAATAAAGTACAAGCATGGGTGCAGAATAACATGGATCCACTTTATCTCGTTGGTTTCTATCAGCTCTATACAACCTAGAATCTTTAATAAATAAAACTCAGCATAAAATTTAACATACTTTTGTCAATCAACAAGCGTATTATAAGAGTGTTACACGTAAAAACAAATCTAATCCTTACAAACTAAACTATAGAAGATTAATCTGATGCTTGCTAGTGACTGACTTGCTCCAGGACGAAGTTTCCTGGAGTTGTAGTGAGAAGTCGTGATCAGTGACGTCCAACCAGATGTCAAGTGTGAGGATGTGTGTGTGTGTGAGTCCCACCGAAGACATTGGTTGGGGTCGCACTAAATCACGAATTGGTACAAGTTAGAATTCATGGTCTGGCCATTCAATCGGGTCCCAGTGGCTTGCCTTGTCACCAGAAGCTCCTGGGTTCGAACCCCACTGTGGTGGGTGCGTACTGCGGATGATTCCCAAACTAGGATGAAACAGCCGGTTGTCCAGTACTCCCTCGTTTTCATTGGTTCTCTAACGAATATTTTTCCGTGATTTCCTTTGGAAAGCTAAATTATTCAAATAACAGTACATGTCATTGGCTTGAAATTGTAAATGGGAGTGAAGAAAGGAAGCCCAGATGCATGACATCACGCACTACTCATTGATATGAGTACTCGGATACTACTCACACCAACCAGTAGTGCTTGCCAGCTAGACAGCAATATCGAGGTGACCTAAACACCAGGTAACCGCTTCGTTTGCTTGGGATCGAGGTCATTAGTGGAGCACCCGGTTGGACTAACTCCAGTGATCCCAATTCCTTGAAAACACTCGGATTCTGCCTAGCTATTTGGGCTAAGTCGTAATATATATATATATGTATATATATCATTAAATTGTCATTTTGTATATTTCAGAGTTAAAGGACGCACTGGATACAGAACTCCGACCAGAACAAGCTGGATTCAGGAAAGGCAAATCATGTTCTGACCAAATTGTAACTCTACGCATTATCATCGAACAAAGCATGGAATGGCAATCAAAGCTCTACCTCAACTTTATAGACTTTGAGAAGGCCTTCGACAGCGTTGACCGTGAAGTAATTTGGAAACTACTCGAGTACTATGGCGTACCCCAAATATTCATCAACCTTATTCAACAGCTGTACGACAACGGCACATGTCAAGTGATCCACAACGGAAAACTCAGTGAGGCGTTTAAAGTAAACACAGGAGTCAGACAAGGGTGCTTATTATCACCAATGATATTCCTAATTGTGGTGGACTGGATTATGCGTCAGACAGTGGGAAACGAGAAGACAGGGATATCCTGGACGGACGTGAAGAACCTAGAAGACCTGGATTTCGCAGATTATTTATGTTTGATGTCACACAAAATCGAAGACTTACAAGCGAAAACCGACAAACTCGTCGAAGAAGCAGCCAGAGAAGACAGGACTCCAGGTTAACATAGACAAGACGGAGGTTATGAAAATAACCAACCAACAACAACAACAGCAACATCCAGCGCCAATCACCATCAACGGGAAGGATTTGAAAGAGGTTACTTCTTTCACTTCACTTATCTACGGAGCATTGTCTCAACCACAGGAGGAACGGACGAGGATGTCAAATCGAGAATCGGGAAGGCGAGAAACACATTCACCAACCTGAAACCAATCTGGAAATCTTCGTCACTCAGCCTGCATCAATAACAAAATTCGGATTTTCAATACAAACGTCAAGTCAGTTTTGCTGTAGGGATCAGAAACTTGGCCAGCGGGTCACCAAGAATATTTCCAGCAGGTTTCAAACCTTCATCAACAGCTGTCTTCGTTCTATACTGAAGATCAGATGGCCGAAAAGAATCACAAACAAGAAGCTATGGGAACAAACAAAACGAGAGCCAATCGCCCAACAAATATGCAGGAGAAAGTGGAGATGGATTGGACACTTGCTGAGGAGGCCGTTGGGTGACATCGCGCGTCAGGCCAGTGCTCGAGTGGAACCGGAAAGGGAAGCGGTGAGTGGGACGTCCAAAAGTGACATGGAGGAGATCGTGTGATGAGGAACTGAAACAGTACGGGTTAACATGGATGCAAGTGAAAAGTACAGCACAAGACAGAAGCAAGTGGAGGCGTGCAGTTGAAGCCCTATGTTCCACTAGGAACCCAAGGGAACAATAATAATAATAATATTTCAGAGTTAGAAGTGAAAATTCACCATAATTTTGCTTTGATATCTAAACTATTGTGATCACAATAGCTGATCTGTCTAATAGCTTATATGTGAATAAAGAGGAGAAGAATAAAAGTGTACTATCGCTACTATTGAGTTTAGAATAATTTTATCTGGTTAGCAAGTTCTAGCTATTAACATGAGTGGTCATTATCTATCTACTCAAACCAGTCAAAAGTATACACTAGTATCAAGTTGTCAGTCCATAAGTAACTCATTTAGCAAATGCTTTAATAAAAATAAAATCCATTATCAGTTGCTTAGCCTTGTTTCTTCACTTTGCCAAACCTGATTATTCAGAAGAAAGAATTCCCTGATAATGAATTTTATTAAGAAAACAAAATCGATCATCAGATTTGATGGTGGGTTGGTGTCAGTTAGAGAACTATTGATTAAAAACCAGTGGGGACTAGTGGACAGTTGTTTCCCCCTAGTTTGAAAGTCTTCATCAGCATGCACCTACTGTGGTCCGAAGGTGGGACCTTCTGGTTACAAGGCCGTCTCATACACCACTCAGCCACGGAAACCCCCTACTCACTGGTCCATGAATGATATCAGTTAGAAAACCGTCGAAGAGCAAGGAGTTCTTGGCAGCAGTACGCACTCATCGTGGTTTGAATCCGATACCAGTGGTGGACCCCACTGGTTCACCACTGGTGAGGTATGACGACAAAATACTCACACTAAAATCGCGAATTCGTAAAAGTTGGAGTTCACAGGCTAGCCATTAGATCAAGTCCCAGTTGCTGAATAGTGTACGAGCTCGCCTTGTAAGCAGAAGCTCCTGTCTTCGAACCCTGGCTGTAGATTTCAAAACTATGGCGAAATAATGTTTAGAACTCCTTAGTTTCCAAATGGTTCTCTAACTAACTCCTAAAATTAAGCTTTCCACCATAATTTCATTTCACCATGACTTAGGTTTGACTCTCAGTGAGTGATGTTGTAGTTGTGCGCAATGATAAAAAGTCTCGGACTGGGATGAAACGGTTGTCCATAGTCTCATGGTTTTTAGTGGTTCTCTTCCTGATATAATTTGAAAGAATTTACACAACAAAAATTTCTTTTCTAATAATAATAATAACAAAACTTACCAACCACCATAAGCAAATAATCCAGAATAAAGAGCTAAAGCAATACGTGATGGATTGACAGGTTGTACCGGTTGCCAGAAATCATTGAAATTCTCTACTCTACCTGTGTGAATGGTATTAAACATTAAGAGAGATTGGTCAACCATTTTCGAAATGCAGACCAAGGGTAACAACAAACATGGGACAAATAAAATGAATGACGTTCTCTTAAAATACAAATCAATCAAATGACTTGCCTCACTCTGATGAAATAAACTTTGTGAAGTACGCTGATGATTTAACAGTTTCAATGGTTGTTAACTCCCAGCTAGATTGTACCAAAATAAATAGCTTTCTGTCGGGAGTCAGTAAGTAATGATCTGAGTCTAACGGTCTTAAAATGAATCCTTCTAAATGTCAAACCGTTAATTTCAGCTTAAGATGTAAACGACAGTTAAAAGAAGTCGTCGATTCTCATGACAGTTGTAAGATTGACGACAGTGATATAGGAATTAAATCAGAAATTAAGTATCTTGGACTTATTCTCTCTTCTGATCTCTCCTGGTCTTCCCATGTCTCAGCGATCTCCAGTAAAATATTCCGTCTGACATTTTATTTACATTAAGAAGTTAAGGCACTCGGGTATAACTCAACCCCTCCTGCTCTTACAGTTCATAAACTCTTGCATCCTACCTATTCTTCTTTATTGTTCACCCCTGCTTATTCTTTCCTGGTTTGCTTAAAAAGGACTTTGTCACAATTCGTAGAATGCTGAAGACTGTCAGTAGGATGAGTGGTGTCCCAGTGGACTACATAGTTAACGTCGTTGTCGATAGGCACTTGACTTCGTGCAGTAAATTTGCTAAAGGGATTTTGTCTGACTTGGAGCATCCACTTCACCCTCAGCTTTCACCTTGCATCTCCTCCTCAGGTAGAACAAGAAGTAACTTCAGAAAACTGAATGCTCGCACGTCTAAGTATGAAAATTCTATGATACCATACTTGGCATGTATTTTATGTCATGAAAATAGTGTCAGGCAAGAATTGACTAACCTTTTTTATTCTAGTAAATAAACAATCTCCTCCATCCATCCTTATATACCTTCAAGTTTTACTTTTATTATTTCTATTATACTTATGGTCCTGTTGATTCTTTGTTTTTACTCTCATAACTGCAAACACCAACTTATCTCTGTGACTGCTGTAATCTTTGTTTTTCCCCTCACCATATCATGTAAACAGAACACTATATTCAATATTTTTAATCATGCAAGGATTTGTATACCGCATCGACAATACTGTGTGAAACAAGCCCACGGCAATTTCCACTTGTATTATTATCATTACCTTAGCTGCTATCATTATTATTATTTCCATTTTATATGCTGCATGTTTTTTTGTCTTTTTTTTTATATTACCCCTATTGTAAATGTAGAAAAATTTTCTGTGTGATTAATTTTTATTTATAATTTGAGGAAATTAGATGCAAGATATTGTGATTAATGCTGAAAATTCCATTCTGTATCACAAGTACTGTTTTTGGAATAAAGTAAATCATTATTATTATTGTTATTATTAATACACCTTAAATGTCAACTTAATTTTAGGACACTTGTCATTTTATAAAACAATGTTTTGTCTGGAGTGAGAATTATAATCTAGTAACTGGCATTTGGTTAAGTGGATGGAGTAAGGTTTGCAATTTATCAGAGATATACCCAAACCAACTGAAATGTTTTCAGTGTTTCAACTGCTCCTAAGTTAGACTGAATGGATCGGTGTCTATCAGTAGATGGGTTCCTTGTATGGACTGCTTATATAGACATTTCAGTTTCACTGCTAGACCTTATCAAGTATATAACCAAGATCCCATTCACTACAGATATCGTTAAGAAGTCATTAAGAAGGGGGACTTGAATCGATACAAGAACTTATATGCTTTGAAGATAATGTGATAAGAATGATGTCCATTGAGAAGGGTGTAAATATTTTTTTGAGTATTAGGTTCGATTGACATGGATAGAATTGGGCGAAATGTTCTCCTGAAGCATTGAAAATGGATCCAGAGACCTCAACGGATATTCTCACACCACTGTTACAGAAGATTTAGAAGGAAGAAAAGGTATCTGCCGATTGGAAAAAGCACTACCTTGACAGAAAACCAAAGAGGGGAAAATTAAACCTTTCGAAGCAAATAGAGCGGAATCAGGCTTCCAACCATCTATCACAAGCATAATATTCAACCTCACTGTCTTAAAGAGAGTAACAGATGAACTGGATAGAAAACTCCTCCCGAAAGAAGCGGGGTTCAATGAAACCGAATCATTTGCGGATCAAACTGTAACGCTACGTAACACAGTATCGAATAGGGTAGAGAATGGCAGTCAAATCTCCACCTCAACTTCATCAACTCTGAAAAGGTCATCGACAATAATTTGGAAAATACTACGACACTGTGGAGCATCCTAAACCATTGTAAATCGCATTCAGCAACTGTATAATGATGCCACACGTCAAGTGATTCACAAGGAAAGACTCAGAGCAAACTTTGAGTTGAGGTTAGGAGGAATACAAGTTTCATTATAATAAAGGATTTTGTATTTCCCAATGAATGAAAAACAAAACGATATTGTTTTGTATGAAAAACGTTTCGCTATTTAATGCTAATAACTTTATCAAAGTATTATTAAATCGGAATTTACAAAATCTCAGCATACATATATAACAAATAGTTAAGGGGTGAGAAAATAGACAAGTTAGGTCAAGTTAAAAGGACATATTGAAAGTCAAAATAACAATGAAGACCACTAAACCAAATAAAAATGGTAATAGTACATCTCTTATGGTATCGAAACAAAGTTTACTAACTTGATCATCGTTCATCAGCATGGGGTAATTTTTACGTTGTCAGGTTAGTTGGCGAATTGGTAAAGATAACAAAACCATCAGGTGTAGATTGTTGGATTTGATAAGTGTGTCAAAAATTATAAAAGCAGTGTGTGTTTACATAGTGAACTTGCTTATCACATTCGTGTTGATTTTGTTACATCTCCAGTGCTGTAAACAGGTCAGATTCTGTTTTAGTTCATCATTCCTATTCAGGCAATTTGGATTCCACTTGATATGAAGTGCTTCTGATATTAGACGTTCTTTGTGATTTCTGAAGTTTTTCTGAATTATTTCTATATTGTCAAAATCAATTTTGTGGCCTGTGTAGACCTATGGCTGATGATTTTTCAGGCTTTTCGAGTCCAACTGGATTCCTCGGTGGTCGAATAGATGCGGCTCTACGGTGTTCATTTCTTCTCATCTTGATTCCTCTCTGGCGACGTTTGTCCGATGTATATCGCATCACATTCCAAGCATTTTATTTTATAGACACAATGAGATAGAGAATCTTTAGGGATTTGGTCTTTTATATGGACAAGGTTGCTTTGTAGTGTGCATGTCTGATGTTTTGAAGAAAACTCTGATGTCGAGCTGATTGAGTACTCTTCTGATATCATCTGACGTCTGTGCTCTATATGGAATGACGACTGTTGGAATGTGATGCGATATACATCGGACATACATCTCGAGAAATCAAAATCAGAAGAAATGAACACCGTAGAGCATCTGTTCGGCCACCGAGGAATCCAGTTGAACTAGAAAAACTTTAAAAATCAACAATCATAGGTCTACACGCTATAGAATCAGGCCTCAAAATCGACTTTCACAATATTGAAATAATCCAGAAAAAGCATTTCAGAAATCACAAAGAACTTCTCATATCTCTCAGAAGCACTTTGAATTTTATACACTTATAAAATCCAACAATCTACACATGATGGTTTTGTTATCTTTACCAATTCGCCAACTAACTTGACAACGTAAAAATTATCCCATGCTGATGAACGATGATCAAGTTAGTAAACTTTGTTTTGATACCATAAGAGATGTACTATTACCATTTTTATTTGGTTTAGTGGTCTTCATTGTTATTTTGACTTTCAATATGTCCTTTTAACTTGACCTAACTTGTCTATTTTCTCACCCCTTAACTATTTGTTATATATGTATGCTGAGATTTTGTAAATTCCGATTTAATAATACTTTGATAAAGTTATTAGCATTAAATAGCGAAACGTTTTTCATACAAAACAATATCGTTTCGTTTTTCATACAAAAACCTTTATTATAACGAATGTCATATACGCCATGCCCAAATTTTTTCAAACTGTTAAAAGTGAACTTGGTTTGGACATATATAATGTCATGTCGTAAATGTTTTCGGTCTAACCTTAAGAAAACCCAAAGATCTAAAGGTGAAAATCCACAAGCTGGTAGAGGAGGCTGGCAGTGAAGACGAGACTTCAAGTAAACAGTAGAGAAGAGAGAGGTATTAAAGGCACATAACAGACAATAAGAAGCACCAATCGGTATCTAACAAACCGAGCCATCGCACTAAGTAGCACAAGAAAAGACCTGAATGACGAAATAAAACAGATAGAAGAAGCGTTGGTGTTAAATAACTATCCTGTAAAATTCATTAGGAAGAACAGTAAAGGCCAAAAACAAGATAAAAGTAATTGTGAAACTAGTATTGATAACATAAATAAGAGAGAATATAAGTCATGCACTGTTATACCATATAAAGAGGGGACATCTGAGACTCAACGTAGGATTCTTAATAAAGTAGGAATTAGGGTGGCATTCAAACCTACAAACTCACTCAGGTAGGACAAGCTCTGTAGGTTAGAGAACCCTGTAGGTTGACCGAATTAAACAAAATAATATAATTTACAAAATACCCTGCAATGACTGTGAGGTCAACTACATAGGTCAAAGTAGTAGGTCAGGAGTAGTCACATTGTCAGAACATAAGAATTTAGCTAAGGTTAGAATGGTTGACCCCGAGATGATAAGTAATTCAGAAAAAAGCTCAGCACTACAATGCACTGCGTGCATTAAAACAAAACCACACAATAAGGTGGGAGAGAGTCAAAATTCTAAAAAGCAATATAGGTAGGTGGAGAGAGAGATTGATTACTGAATCCTGCCTGGTTCATCGAGTCTACGCCCATCACATGCAACAGAAGTGACTCAATGAAAATACCAGAGATATTGAAGATATTATTACCACCA